TTCGTGGAAACCAGAACATAAAAAAAATAATTGCATCGCACCTTATATAAAACCTTGAAATAATCAAAAGATGCGAAAAATTAGATCTGAATTTCATTCAATAATAACTGAAAGACATGAAAAATAATCCACTCGTTCTCCTCTCCTGGAATTATTTCCTTTCATGAAAGCAAGGGAAAATTAAACTTCAAAAAAGAAATGTCACAAAGATAAACGATTCCGGATGCATTTCAGAGAGACGCTGAGAGCACTATAATTGCGGCAGGCTTTACTTTTGTTGTCATAGGATTCAGCCCGATCATCTTGAACATATAGAGGACTTTGTTCGCGACATTTCTGTCTGTATGCTATGGCTGTGGTTGTCCATTATCTGAAGTGATATTCTTTCGTTCCGAACAAACTGATAAATTGACATTTCACCTGAACTGAATTGAAACAATGACTGATTCAGTTTAGTTCTAGGAAAATATTTCAGTTGGTTCAGAATGGAAGAATATCACTTGAGTTGAACATTCACATCAATAGTGATATTCCCCCTCAGACTGGATAACAATAGGAAGACATCGCAATTCATTCATAAACTAGGAGAAGCAAATGTCAACAATCCTGAACGCCAAACCCAAACACCGCCAAACACGGATAAATCGATGAAATGGCGAATGATGGAGATAACTTACTGGAATTATTGCAAGAGAATTGATATATTCATTATATATCTTTGATAAGTCTGACAAATCGATTATAAATCAACTTTCACTTATTGTTACATAATTATACGTCATTGTGTAATGTCTTAGGTACGCTATTTTGAATTTCTAATATTTTGATCACTTTTTTCATTCTATCCCACGAGTATGAAGTGTGCAGCATGAGCCATGAGCCGTACGCTAATAATGCTGCTAATCATACTAGTGGGAAATTCAAAATAGCGAGATAATTGAACAACAAAAGATATCATGAAATTCAAATTCTATGTCATCCAAAAACAGAGCTGTCAGTTCAAGCATAATCATTGACATACTGTGGGGGATTCGTGATAAGACATATATAGGCCAAACCAGGCGACCCATGGAAACGAGGTTCAAAGAACACATAGCACATTCAAATTATGGTAGGTTAGAAAAATCGTGTGTAGCCGAACATATGTTCAATCACAATCATGACACACATATTACTAACCTAAAATTAGTTAAGCAAGTTAATAGAGTGATGAATAAGGATAATGGACCTATTCCAAATATTCCTCCATATAGTTTAGTAATATCAAATTGAGATTAACTTGTGAACTCAACCATGACAAACATTAACTTAACGGTTAGTATTTTTCACGGTTGGGTTAACATATACCTAGTATATAAGCAGCACACTAGAATAAGATATTGAGATTTAATCTTCTCCTGAAGATGCTAACATAGTTAGCGAAACACCTGTCGGGGCGTTTAAAATAATCGGTTTGGTTAGTGGTAAAACAGTGTAGTGTTTTATCGTGCTGAAGTTTCCACTCGTCGATATAAAATACTCAACACTAATTTCGTCGCACACCAAAATGTCGCCTCATGTGAATAACTTTTTTCAGTTTAGAACAATTTGAATTTGGTTCACACTGTTCGATAGTCCAGTTCTTCAGCTATAATCTCGTACTTCATTGAAACATAAGGGTATTCACATGAAATCTCTACATGGTGTTTTCCGACACTGTGCAAAATTCGACAACAGAGGCATGAAGATGATCTCATTACCTCGAGATGTTTCGCGAATCAACTTCATATCTCTCTTATTCACAGAGTGATATCAAAAAATCAACTCTTTGATTTTGCAGCCATAACTTTTTTCCACGTCAACCGATTTTAAAAATCTTAGGCTCATTTTGAAGATAAAACTTCAGATGAAGAGATCTTAATATCAGAATTGACTCAAGATGGCTATCAGAGATCTAGAGTTTTCTTGAAAGTGACCCAAATCTGGAACGCCCTCAGAATCTCGGTTGGGAGGAGAATCGAATGAAAATCAACTTGTTCTCGGAAAAACAATTCATTCTGGATGCGTCCATATTTTCCTTGCTCTCAGTAGTCAAGAATTGTGCATGAGAAAACACAATTGAAACATGTTCTTGCAAACAATATCAGACCGTTTCTCCTCTGTAATGCATGGCCCGTAACCAACGTTACAAGAATCACAATGGACTGACAAACCCGACTAGCTAAGGCTCATCATAAATGGTGTACCAACAACCCTATGCGGTCTCGCATTGTCATCAACGAGAACAAAGTTGTCACCCACATTCGCGTTAGATGCGGCATCGAAACTATCGAAATCTGTTTATGATTCGAAAACGACCTCTAACCTGACTTGTCAGTCACTTACTCTGATTCTTGTAACGTAGGTTACGGGCCATGCATTACAGGGGAGAAATGGTCTGTTGTTTCTGCAAGAACATGTTTCAATTGTGTTTTCTCACTCACATTCTTGACTACTGAGAGCGAGGAAAATATGGACGCATCCAGAATGAATTGTTCTTCCGAGAACACGTTGATTTTCATTCAATTCTCCTCCCAACCGAGATTCGGAGGGCGAATTATTGCAAGAGAATTGATATATTCATTATATATCTTTGATAAGTCTGACAAATCGATTATAAATCAACTTTCACTTATTGTTACATAATTATACGTCATTGTGTAATGTCTTAGGTACGCTATTTTGAATTTCTAATATTTTGATCACTTTTTTCATTCTATCCCACGAGTATGAAGTGTGCAGCATGAGCCATGAGCCGTACGCTAATAATGCTGCTAATCATACTAGTGGGAAATTCAAAATAGCGAGATAATTGAACAACAAAAGATATCATGAAATTCAAATTCTATATCATCCAAAAACAGAGCTGTCAGTTCAAGCATAATCATTGACATACTGTGGGGGATTCGTGATAAGACATATATAGGCCAAACCAGGCGACCCATGGAAACGAGGTTCAAAGAACACATAGCACATTCAAATTATGGTAGGTTAGAAAAATCGTGTGTAGCCGAACATATGTTCAATCACAATCATGACACACATATTACTAACCTAAAATTAGTTAAGCAAGTTAATAGAGTGATGAATAAGGATAATGGACCTATTCCAAATATTCCTCCATATAGTTTAGTAATATCAAATTGAGATTAACTTGTGAACTCAACCATGACAAACATTAACTTAACGGTTAGTATTTTTCACGGTTGGGTTAACATATACCTAGTATATAAGCAGCACACTAGAATAAGATATTGAGATTTAATCTTCTCCTGAAGATGCTAACATAGTTAGCGAAACACCTGTCGGGGCGTTTAAAATAATCGGTTTGGTTAGTGGTAAAACAGTGTAGTGTTTTATCGTGCTGAAGTTTCCACTCGTCGATATAAAATACTCAACACTAATTTCGTCGCACACCAAAATGTCGCCTCATGTGAATAACTTTTTTCAGTTTAGAACAATTTGAATTTGGTTCACACTGTTCGATAGTCCAGTTCTTCAGCTATAATCTCGTACTTCATTGAAACATAAGGGTATTCACATGAAATCTCTACATGGTGTTTTCCGACACTGTGCAAAATTCGACAACAGAGGCATGAAGATGATCTCATTACCTCGAGATGTTTCGCGAATCAACTTCATATCTCTCTTATTCACAGAGTGATATCAAAAAATCAACTCTTTGATTTTGCAGCCATAACTTTTTTCCACGTCAACCGATTTTAAAAATCTTAGGCTCATTTTGAAGATAAAACTTCAGATGAAGAGATCTTAATATCAGAATTGACTCAAGATGGCTATCAGAGATCTAGAGTTTTCTTGAAAGTGACCCAAATCTGGAACGCCCTCAGAATCTCGGTTGGGAGGAGAATCGAATGAAAATCAACTTGTTCTCGGAAAAACAATTCATTCTGGATGCGTCCATATTTTCCTTGCTCTCAGTAGTCAAGAATTGTGCATGAGAAAACACAATTGAAACATGTTCTTGCAAACAATATCAGACCGTTTCTCCTCTGTAATGCATGGCCCGTAACCAACGTTACAAGAATCACAATGGACTGACAAACCCGACTAGCTAAGGCTCATCATAAATGGTGTACCAACAACCCTATGCGGTCTCGCATTGTCATCAACGAGAACAAAGTTGTCACCCACATTCGCGTTAGATGCGGCATCGAAACTATCGAAATCTGTTTATGATTCGAAAACGACCTCTAACCTGACTTGTCAGTCACTTACTCTGATTCTTGTAACGTAGGTTACGGGCCATGCATTACAGGGGAGAAATGGTCTGTTGTTTCTGCAAGAACATGTTTCAATTGTGTTTTCTCACTCACATTCTTGACTACTGAGAGCGAGGAAAATATGGACGCATCCAGAATGAATTGTTCTTCCGAGAACACGTTGATTTTCATTCAATTCTCCTCCCAACCGAGATTCGGAGGGCGTTCCAGATTTGGGTCACTTTCAAGAAAACTCTAGATCTTTGATAGCCATCTTGAGTCAATTATGATATTCAGATCTCTTCATCTGAAGTTTTATCTTCAAAATGAGCCTAAGATTTCCAGAATCGGTTGAAGTGAAAAAAAGTTATGGCTGCAAAACCAAAAAGTTGATTTTTTGAGATCACTCTGTAAATAAGAGAGATAGGAAGTTAATTCGCGAAATATCTCGAGGTAATGAGATCATCTTCATGCCTCTGTTGTCGAAGTTGAGGAAAAAAATGTTTTCACCATTTGAGAGCCTTTGAATATTCCGAAATTTTGCACAGTGTCGGAAAACACCATGTAGAGATTTTATGTGAATACCCTTATGTCTCAATGAAGTACGAGATTATAGCTGAAGGACTGGGCTATCGAACAGTGTGAACCAAATTCAAATTGTTGTGAACTGAAAAAAGTTATTCACATTATAACAGGGGCGACATTTTGGTGTGCGACGAAAATTAGTGTTGAGTAGTTTATTAGATGTTCTTGTTACAGCTAACGATCGTCCTGAGCATCGTCCTCGTCCTCGCAGCTGTTACCAAGCTCTCCCACCAATCGCAGCCGGTCTGGGCGATCTACCACGCGGCGCAGGGCCTGCAGGGCGTCCTGGTCGCCATGCTGGTCACGTGCAACTGCCAGGTGCTGAAGCTGTACACGCGCAGCATCAAGTCACGTGCTTCGAAGCGCGTGCCCAGCTACGTGTCGGGCGGTCGGTCGAGCGGTATGGGAAAGTCTACTAGTTTGCAGCTGCTGACGTGGGACCCGATGCCGGATTCCGTTTAAAAACCGTCGTGATGATATAACAGGGTGATTCATTAAGATTGGACAATATCTAAACTATAGATAGTTATTATTCCAGATTTTTTTGGGATTTTCTCTCCTTGTCTCTATAAAATAAAAATATGAAGACTATTACAATAAACGTGTAGTAAAGACAAATCAGATGATTTGCCCCGAAATGTCACTGTGTTTAAAGAATTTTCCTATCAGAGAGCCGAAAAGGAAAATTCACTAGCTTGTCAGTGACAATTTGTATTGAAAAAGGTTTCGAGAAGAGAAATAAAGGTATATAGGAAAAATATCAATTTCTCACTTATCTTCGGACGTTTTGGGAATGAATCTGTTCCCGTTTTCAACATAAAAAATGGATTTTTTTGTATGGCGAATTCGTCTTTGTCCTGACACTTTTCAGTTATCAGTGACAATTGGTGACGTTGGCAATCAAATGAGTTAGGATGACGTACATTGAAATAGTATTCATATTTTTATCTCACAGAGACGAGGAGAGAAAATCCCAAAAATATCTGGAATAATGAATGTATACCACCTCCTCGATTAACCTACCTTGCTGGCTTAGGAGCTACAGGGTGTTCAAGGGGCATTTATATTTCGAAATTCCCCAATAACTTTGTAAGCTTTAACAGCATAAACATGGAATTGTCAGTTTCAGTTTCAGGTTTCCTGAACTGAGCAATACGGATTTGTACCTTATTTGATGATTTGCTCATAGAGGGCGCTAGTGACACTCTGCTACTTCGCAATTGCATCATATCTTCTTTGACCATCAAATTATGATCGAAATAAGTCAAAAATCCAAAAACTCGTTCAATTCTCTATATGAAAAACGTTCTCCAAATAGGGTGGATATAACGGTTTTCGCGTTATTCGCTATTGAGGAGGTTGGTATCTCAATTATATTTTTATTATTTTAAATTATAAATTTAGCGAAGTGACAGTGAAAATAAGGCAGTGAACAATAATACCAATCACTAACAAATAGAATTTCAAAGTAATTTGATAAAACGTTTCCCCTTATCTGCAACATTTATATGAGGTTTGGTGGTCTAAATCTTCATATTTCGGTATTTATCATCTGTAGTACAGAGATTGCCCATTCTTAATTAATCGCCCTGTATATGGAATTCACGACCATTGTCACTTGAAATCAAAAACATAATATGCAAGGTACAATATTGTCTGGCTATAAAAAAAAATTATGCAAATCACCATCAATCTACACTCACCGGCAAAAGAAACCGGCCACCAAATAATTTAGCCAAATTGTTTGCTCTGTAACTTCATATATTCTGGTCCGATTTTGGTGAAATTCCGACCAAATCGTAGATTCATGTTTCCAAATGTTAGCCTGGATATTAGTTCCTGAGAAAATCTGATGACTCGATCATTATACAGGGAAAAACGAAAGTTACTTTTTCACCTTTAACTTCTAAACGCCCTGTGGAAAAGTTGAGTGGTCTAACTTAGCTTCATTATGTTTTAGATTGAAGAGTGATCTCTTCTGTACATGATGGTTTTTTATTCACGTCAATAACCACTTTTTAAAGGAAGATACAAGTGTTTCAAGAGAGTATGGATATTCAAAATTTTTATTTACAATAATTCAGAACCATTCTCCAACCTTCTGCTTCAGCATGTTTTGAACTGATGTGAGATCCTCTTCTGTTCCTTCTTCATACAACGGTTCTTGAATAACGTCAATATCTCTTTTTTGAGAGAAGATACATGTGTTTCAAGAAAGTGAAGATTTTTTGATGTTCAATAACAATAATTCAGAACCTATCTACCTATCTTAGGGGTGACCTCTAGAAGTTCATTCGCCTTCGCCCAGCCTTGTCAGATCCTCTTCAAGAGCTATGATTCGCTGTTCAAGGAGGATTTTGGGCAATTCTTCAAGGCTACTGGAGTAATTTGATTGATTCGATGCCACTTCGGTTGAATGCTGTAATTCAATATCGAGGAGAGTATACTCGTTATTGACTACAGGCCTGCTTCTTGTTTGTTTTTTGTAATTGATTTTCCGGTAAGTGCTAAGAAAGTATGGTAGAAATATGTGATATTGATCATTGGAGTTGTCAATCAATAAGTTCATGTAAGATCTTATTATTGGTAAAAAAGTTGAAAAACTCCATACTTCCTTAAAACACTCGTATTTTCTTCCAAAAATATGATATTAATGTGAATAAAAAACTTTCGTGTTAAGAAGGGATCACACTTCAATCCGAAGCATAATGAAGTCATGTTCAATCACGCAATTTTGCCATAGGGCGTTGAGAAGGATAGGGTGAAAGAGTAACTTTGGTTTCTCCCTGTATAATGATCAAGTAATCAGCTTTTCAGGAAAACTAATATTCAGGCTAACATTTCGGAACATGAATCTACGATTTGATCTAAATTTCTCAAGGATCCGACAAGGATTAAAAAAGTTATAGTGTGAACAATTTGGGGAAATTTTTTGGTGGTCGGTTTATTTTGCCGGTGAGTGTATATTTGAAGTAAATCATTTATTCTTGATCTCTGGCCAAGACATTTTCCATGTTTCTGCCAAAATCGTTGATGTTCTAACAATACTCATTGCAACTGTTTCTTCTATAAATGCCGAATTATAAGCAGATTGTAGCCAGGATAACGCTCGAAACCTACAGACTCGTTCAAGGTTTTTAGCCTTGTGTAAGGTATTCAACAGACAGCAGTCATCTAAGCAAAACATGACCCAACGAAAATCCAAATAAACTGGGCGTCAATTGAAAATTTGGCATCAAGTTTGACTTCTCGTAATTTCTAAAATATTGAACCAATTTTGAATTGCCGCCAGATTCTGAATGCCTTTTTCATCGTCTTTCGAACCGTTCCTTACAGCTTCTTCCAAATTGATCAGGACCCGTGATACAGGGTGAAACAAAGTTTCGTGCATTTTGAAAAAAAATTCTCCGCCCCCCCCATTTTGTCGGAAGACCACGATGCTCATATCTTATTCGGGCATTTCATAAATAGCAACCATACCTCGGGACGTTTTCGAGTTTTTGCTAAAAACTACTGTGGTTCCCGGAAAAAAAATTTTTCGTATTTTTTTAAATGGACTAATTTTAGAGGAGTTCCATAAATGGATACTTTTATGCATTTCAGTAAAGCGTTGGAGCAGATATGTATACCAGGTTACTCAAAAACAATCTATAATTTATTACTTCGCAGTCTATGATAAAAGTTGTCTACCTTAGTGAGCAGTAAATCAACACATCTCATCAACAAAAACAAACAACGATATACCTTGTTTCTATAACAACGTATTGTTGAAACAATGTAGGTATGCATAGAGGTAATATCAATTGCCAATTTTCATGAAAACGTCAGTGTAATTCGGGTCCTAAAAAATTTAAAGATGCCTCGTTCAATTCGGGTCGAAATCATTTGGTAAGATAATTATAGTGATATAAACTATAATTCAGTACAGATTATTATTATTTCAGGTTACGACGATTAGGATACACCCAAACTCATTTGAGTACCATTTTCAAGAAGTCAGTCATGATAATAAATAGACTGATTCATCGTTTTGAAGATACAGGTAATCAGGCCATTTAAAAAAATGCAAAAAAATTTTTTTTTCGGAAACCACAGTAGTTTTTGGCAAAAACTCGAAAACGTCTCGAGGTATGGTTGCTATTTATAAAATGCCTAAATAAAATATGAGCATCGTGGTCTTCCGACAAAATGGGGGGCCGGAGAAATTCTTTTCAAAATGCACGAAACTTTGTTTCACCCTGTATCACGGGTCCTGATCAATTCAGAAGAAGTTGTAAGGAACGGTTCGAAAGACGATGAAAAAGGCATTCAGAATCTGGGCGGCAATTCAAAATTCGGTCAATATTTTAGAAATTACGAGAAGTCAATTTTGATGCCAAATTTCACTATTAACGTTTCAATTGACGCCCAGTTTAGTTACTGTCAAATACTGGATTGAAACACTTCATAGCTAATATTATTATTTTCATTCCACTTAGAGTATTTTGGCTATTTCGTAGTTCAGTTTTCAGTACCTACATCAGCGATGATAAGTTCAATATCAGGAGCATGCGCAGTGTCACAAGGCTGTTATATTCCACAGGTGTTGTGTTAACTAGTTTAGAGCAATTCAGAATCGGTCCAAAGCAGTTCAAGCTTCTGGGCAAGGACTGTTTATGAATGTCGTGAATAATTTTCGATGCGCAAAAGACCATGCCACAGATTTTTAATCTCTGAGCTATTTAAATAAATAAATAGAGGATGTATATATTCTAAATAATCAATCAAGAATAACACAAGTTCAAATAGTCAGCAAAGGTTCTTATACATTGTTTTTCTGTCGGCAATCCTCCAGAACGCGGCGAAGGGTCGGCAGGGCGTACTCGTCGCCATGCTGGTCACGTGCAACTGTCAGGTCTGAAGCTGACCACAGTCTCGAGATCATACCCGTGTGTTCACCGAACACGCCCGATCGTTTCCTAGTACGGTGTGATTAGACCTAAACCTCAACATCCAAAGTAAAAGTTTTCCTTCAACACCAAATTGCTCTACATAGTCCCCTTATTCTATGTTAAAAAGTTACACCATTTTGAGCGTCGGGTTTGGGGGTGAGGGGGGAAGGAATTTGAAAAATCACTAGTTTTTTTAGTTTTTCGTAAATATTTCAAAAACTAGGCGGTTTATCCTAAATATTGTTATATACAAAAATGTTCTACGTTAAATTTTAAATAAGAATGATCCTTTTCATGATCACTCTAAATTGTACGGTTCAAGAGTTACAGACGGTGTAAATGTTAACTTTTTCGTAATTTTGATAATTTTTTTAAAAAATAAGCTTCGTAAAAGAATGTGCTATTTCAGTGGCCGGTGGTATGTTAGTGATAAGCCCTTGAAGGAACGACAACCTCACCACCTTATCAA